GCGCATGCCTCGCGGCGGATATGCGCAGCAGCAAGAAGGTTTCGGTCATCCCTTGAGGGTGAGTCTAGCCCTGCTCGCCAGAAAGACCCCCCCCTTCACTACAACCCATGTCTAAGCAAAAGCTTGTCGAGAAGCGAGGGGAAGAAGGGAGAGTCGTGGTGGGGGATATTAGTTGGGCACGGAATAGTTATGAGTATTCTATTTTTTTTCTGAGAAAAGTGTTCTCAAAAAAAAAAAACGCGGGATAACTACGCGCCCGGTGACCACGCCGCTAGCCGGCATAAAGCAGAATCAGAGAGCGTTCACGGGTTCGGTCGGAGCGAGGTACCCACCCTGTGAGATTGGTCGTGGGCTGAGCGAGGTCCCGGAAGGAGGAAGGAGATTCTCCTCTGTAGCCAAGGTTAAGCGCGCGGGAAGCGTGTGCGCCGCCCCATCAGCGGTAGCAGCTGCTGCTGGCAGCACGCACCCCCCGAAGGTGTGAAATTGTTCCTAACAAATAGCCTTTGGCGTGCTTGACGTTGACCCTGTCGCAGGTTGTCTTTAAAGCAGTGTTAGTTTTTAGTTGTGTTGGGCGACGTATGCGTACGTCCATGGTGCTCCCTAGCTGGCTGGCTGGCTGGCACTCCGGGTCTACGGTCTCTCCACCTGCGAACCACAGCAGTTTTCCGGGGTATCGGGTGCCACAGCCCATGACTGGCTCGCCGCAAGGGGCTGGGCGTTCGTTGGCTCGATTCCATTGATTCCATGCGGCTCAGACTACTGCTGTTGTTGTCATCGATCGATTGTACCATACACGTTTGTTGTCCACAGCAGTCGACTAAGTTGTTCTTTCTGCCCCGAGAAAAACATGGTACCACAGGGCACCCCCCTCCAAAAGGCCGCGTGTGCGTGCCCACAGGGGGTATAGGATGGTGGTGTCCGCGTTGGGTGCGAAGCGTGGGCGTGGACATGTCATCTTGCCGTGTTAATTAAGAGCAGGTGGGAAGCGGAGGTCGCCCTCCGACAGCAGCCGTTGCTATGTGTAGAAAATACAGAGGCGGAGCCTCGGGCCGTCCGCGGTTGTGGTAGTTTACTAGGAAAGAACAATGCAAGAAACTCCGCCGGAGCTTTTTTTCCGCTTGATGCACATGTCATCGACCTTATTCTGAGAAAATATCGTGCCAACAAGATCTATGCCTCCTCTGTACCTCCTGTGAATGTGGGCGGCATCGTTGCATACTATTTATGCCGCGTCCACGTGCAAGAGCGGGCAGCGATGCCCTGCTGTCTGGCGCAAGGTGCTGCTGCTGATAGGCCTCAACAGGTATTGAACGTGTGAGTGGCCACGCCCAGCACCAGCGAGCTACGTTGTTATTTTTTTTTTGTAACTCTTGCGCCACCCCTTGCTGCACCCCCACACACCCCTTCTATCCTCGGCACAAAGCAAGAAGTCAGCTGTGCACTCGTGGCCTGGTGTACGCAAGCTCACACTGCGGTGGTGTTTGCTGCTGGTGTGACGCATGGTGCTGCGGTGGGGGAGGCTGACCACGAGAGCGCGGTTTGGTCGCTTTCAACCAGCACGCCGCCGCGTATCCATCCCCCTCTCTCCGATCTTACGCAAACACCGAGTGAGGGAATTATGCAGGGAAGCACAACAACAGTTGGTTGATATCGTACCCAACGACGGTCGTTTGCTAGATTCTACTGATCGCGATTCGGTGTGTTTGAAGATGACAGCGTACAGCAAACTACTGCTTGCGCCAGCGCGTGTTTTCCGTTCATGGCCATCCGGTTGCGTGCGCAGCTTGCACAGCAATCTACATGCAACCTCTGCTTGCGACGGCAATTCCAATATTCCCCGGTCATTATCAAATCGTTGATGGCTTCCGACAGCCGCTTCTTTGTCTACAATATCTGCCCCCATTTGCCGTTCGATGTTTTTTTGCGCACAACCGCTGCTGCCCATTGCCGAAGGCGCTAGCCGGCATAGCACTGGGGCTTGTTTACATAGCTATGCATGTTACGATCCGGGGCGAGTATTTGTCCCTGGGTGTAGCCAAGGGAGCCGCTGTGCATAGACTACACGACGTGGTCGGTATTTGTCACATTGGTGCATCCCTCTCGGATCTGTGAATTCAGCTACATAGAATACATACCTCCTTTGCGATTCGTGGAATATTGAATGTTGTTTGTCATGTTTTCCCATGGGTTTATGCATGCCCCATGCATGCGAAACTATGTACTTCTATCTCGTATCTCTCTCCTCATCGATGGGCTAGTAGAGCTACGGTGGTTTCTATTTTCGCACGATGATCGGGATGGGTGTTGGTGTTGTTGTTGTTGTCTTCACATGAAAACCGTTCCGATCTCTCTCTACCCTGTACCTTCGTATGTCCGTACTGATCCAACACTCAACGCGGTCGATTCCCGTGGTCGCAGGCTAACTTACCCTAAAAAGGTACACTCGAACAAAATGACCCCGACGGGTCCACAAGTCAAGAGAAATCAACGACAGATATTCTAGAGTCCTCCACTCTGCGCGCTATGCGAGGTAACAACTGAGACTAGGAGTCACCATCACGGGCCGGAGAGAATGAGGTACACCCCATTGGTTCAATCTTGGTACTTCACAACGCAAGCAGAGACAAGGTCATCTGGCACAGACAACGAGAGAAACAGAGAATAAAATAAAAGGAAACAGTAAGGAAAGAGAAAATGAAATAAGAAGAGCAAGGACAAAAAGGACCAGACCGAAAATAACAAGAAATAGGAGACAGAAAAAGGCACACGGTGGAGAGACCACTAACGACAAGCAAACACGCAAACATGGCCACCAATCAGCGATACATTGTAATGGTACGTCATCACTAGTGGGGGGTTGGTGCAATGGTGCAGCGTTGGGGGGGGGGGAGCAACTGCAAAGACGACAACCGGTCCACACCATCATCATCATCCGATGACTGGTGTGACCGATGCCCTTCGTCTTCCGAAGACGACGACGACGACAACGATGGAGACGGCGACGGCGGGCCGGCGGGCGACGCTGGGACTTGTTGGTCTTCGTCCTCCCCTTCCAGCTCGAAGTCGAGGAGCTGCTCTTGGTCCCCCTCCTCTTCCTGGAAGTGAACCTCTCCAGTTTTTTTTTGTTTCTTTGTAGTCTTTTTTCTATTCCCCATGATGGCAACTGCCGCAAGGTAGTGCCACCACCGCACAAAGAACTCGACAAACACACGTAACGCCGCTGACGCCACTATGAGACGGGTTTCTCTAGGTTCGCGTGTGAGCAAGTTCCCTTTGGGATGTGTGGTGTGGAAATACACCGGTTCAACCTCGGGTGGAGAGGCTGACGAGTCCGGCAAGTGTTGAGTTGTGTGAGTTGTTTGTTGTTGTTGTTTCTCACATTAGCTCTAAAAAACAAAATTGGGAGCCCGTGGTCTCAAAACCCGGCATACACGACCCCACGAAGAAACAGAAAAAAATAGGGTACAAAAACCACTCGGAAGAGAAACAAAATGATAGAAAGAAAGACCAGCTACCGCACCAAACGAGAAAGAGCGTCGAGGAGACCGATCAAAATAAAATAAAAGGAGAACGGGGAACGCTTCCCACACCCGCCTACAACGCCGGAGGGTTCCG